CTCTTGTCACTTTTATTCAAAAATACTGGAATCCTAAACACAGCAATAAAACAAGAAAAAGAAATAAAAGCCCTCTAAATGGGAAAAGAAGTAAAATTGTCACTATGTGAAGACTACGTGATATTGTATACAGAAAACACTAAAGATTCTACCAAAAATAAACACGTAAATCATTTTTTTCTCTTTTTTTTTTAAACCTTTATTTATTTTTGAGACAGAGAGAGACAGAGCATGAACAGGGGAGGGGCAGAGAGAGAGGGAGTCACAGAATCTGAAACAGGCTCCAGGCTCTGAGCTGTCAGCACAGAGCCCTACGTGGGGCTCGAACTCACGGACCCTGAGATCATGACCTGAGCCGAAGTCGGACGCTTAACCGACCAAGCCACCCAGGTGCCCCCACATAAATCATTTTTAAAAACTCTTTGAATTAATAAATTAATTCACTAATACAGGATACAAAACAAATATACAGAAATCTGTTGCATTTTTTATATACTTATAATGAACTATCAGAAAGAGTAATTAAGAAAACAATCCCATTTGCAATTGCATCAAAATGAATAAAATAACTAGGGTTAAATGTAACCAAGGGGGTGAAAGACGTGAACCCTGAAATCTATAAGACATTGATGAAAGAAACTGAAGACAGCACAAGTAAATGGAAAGGTACACTGCTCATGGATTGGAAGAATTAATATTGTTAAAATATCCATACTACCCAAAGCGGTCTGCAGATTGAATGTAATTTCTATCAAAATACCAATGGAATTTTTCTCAGAAATAGAACAAATAATCCTAAAATTTGTACAGAACCACAAAAGATTCCAAATAGCCAAAGCAATCTTGAGAAAGAAGAACAAAATTAGAGGTATCATGTTCCTTGATTTCAAAGTATACTACAAAGATACAGTTATCAAAACAGTATGGTATTGGCACAAAAACAAAACATGCAGAGTTTTGGAACACAATAGAGAGTCCAGAAATAAATACATGCATATACAGTCAATCTTCAACAAAGGAAGGAAGAACATACAATGGGGAAAAGACAGCTCTTCAATAAATGGCGTTGGCTACTAGGTATTTAACCAAAGAAAACAAAAACACTAATTCAAAAAGATATGTGCAGCATTATTTGCAGTAGTCAAGATATGGATGCAACCCAAGTGTCCATCCATAAATGAATGGATAAAGAAGACAGTGTCTACACACACACACACGCGCGCGCGCACAATATTACTCAGCCGTGAAAAGGGATGAAATCTTGCCATTTGCAACAACATGGACAGATCTAGAAGGTACCATGATAAGTAAAGTCAGTCCGACAAAGACAGATACCTAATAATTTCACTCATGTGTGGAATATAAGAAGCAAAACAAATGAACAAATAAAAAGACAAAAAAAAAAAAAAAA